AGCCTGCAGCCTTTGAGTTGGTTAATGCTTTTTGTATATATAATTTTATTTATGACTTTTTCTTTAACATCCATAAGTGCTTGATGAACAGTGTATTATCTGAGCCAATATATTTTGCATACAATTCTGATAATAATATTACCATTTAAGTATACATAATCAAAATTTTCCAACTTCTAACATTTGTGTATATATAGTAATTATAATATGTTCTATTGTATTTCAGTATACATAATATTATTTTTCCAATTTCTATTTTCTACTTCTTTTTTCTAACACTCAATAAAATAACCATTAACCAAGGCAGCTGGTTAATGCCTTGAAGGCCCTTCTTTTTAACTTTAATTATTCTATCCTTGTTTTAACTGCCTCCTTTTATTGAAATATAATGTTTTTATATGGTTTTTGTGTTAATTATATACTGCGCACTGCTGCTCTGTGAGTGAGATGGGTGGCAAACAAACAAACAAACAAATAAATAACTGACTGATGAATGTAGACTGGGAACCAGTACAGTACCTCATCTTACACTTACCAAAGCTTGTTACTCTTTGCTCAAAGGTTATTTCACTTTAGACTCAGCCTGTGATATTTCTCAGATCATCAAACAAAAAGAACATCTGCTCTTTCAAGTGTAAAGAAGATTGGGAAAATTTAAGAATGTATTGCTGACAATTACTTTCTTTAATACGTACTTGGATATGATGTTTAAATAACACCGTAAGGTGCTGTACTTCCATTTAGATTGCATTAAGACTATCAGTATACAGCTGTTGTAAAGCATAAATACAGAACTGTTGTTGATTTTAGCAATAAATATGATTTTTATGTTCATAAATATATTTGCATGGGAAATTCAGTGTGGAACTTATCACCCATCTCTGAATTCCATACCTCTGAAAACCTAAGGAACTAGGATGCCATATTACAATATTTGGATCCTGATTTCTGACACTGTCACCATTACCATGCCACCATTGGCCTTGTTTTAGCTTCTGCATTGCAGTAGACCAGAGCCTTTTCAGAGTGAAGGTCTCAAAAAAGCAATATCCTAGACAAATTCATATTCTGGTGTTTGAAGCAATGTACAAGCATGCTAATCTGAGTCTTAACTAGCTCACAGCTACCAATGGTGCTGATGTCTGAGTTCCGTTTCTCTAAATCATTGACTTTTAGCCTACATGTGGCATTGTCCCAACAAACGGGTTATGGAAATTGAAGTCCACACATCTTAAAGCTGCTAAGGGTTGAAACCCTTGTCTTTTTCTGTGAAGGGGTCAGTAACCAAAGTGGCACAGAGCATTTAGCCTTGTTTGTAGAGTTTATCTCTTCGTTTTCTTCAGGAACAAAAAGCAATATATACAGCACTGCATACTTTCAATTTTTTCTCATGACAGCAACTTGTATATTGGTTTAAGACAGAGTGACTGACCCAAAGCCACCAGATTCACCAGATCTGTGAAATGCTATTATCTCCTTAATAAGAGAATAGTTTGGGCATAATGAGTGATGGCTAAGAAGACTTACCGTATTTTTTGGAGTATAAGATGCACTGGAGTATAAGACATACCTTAGTTTTTGGGGAGGAAAATAAGAAAAAAGCTGATTGGTGGGTGAATTGGCCTCCCGGAATACCCCCAATCAGCTGTTTCCAGAGGTGAATTTTAGCAACAGGTTCATTGGTTATGAGTTCAGTGTCTTGCTATTTTTTCTGCCTCTGAAACTCCATTTCAGAAAAATCTTTTTTTTCTGCCTCTGAAAGCCTCCGAAACAGAGCTTCAGAAAAAAAGGCTTTTTTTCTGAAGCTCTCTTTGGAGATTTTTTTTTTTTTCTGAAGGTTCTTTCAGAGGTTTTTATTCTGAAGGATTATCTGTACTCTCTTCAATCTCCTTTCTTTGGTATTGATATGTAGATTAACCTCTTCCTGTTGGTTGATCTGTTGGTTATTGTGTCATTCTCCAGATTTGTTAACATAGTTTGGTTAGAATCTTTACTGATTCTTCTTTTGTTGCTTGCCATATTATTTTAGATAAAAGCCTTTCAGAGGCTTTTTTTCTGAAGCTTTGTTTCTCAGGCTTCTTTCAGCCTCTGAAATTTGCGAGGCTGGGCGGGGCTACATTTGGAGTATAAGACACACCCAGATTTTCACCCTCTTTTTTGGTAAAAAAAGGTGTGTCTTATACTCTGAAAAATATGATATATAATGAGGGGGTTTCATGGTATAAAATGGATAGCCTTCATTCCAGTGATTTATCCAAGTCTCTCTTCTCAGATAGGATTGTGTTAATAGTAGTCTAAGGCTATATCTATGAACATACTCAATGAATCAGTATTTCCAAATATTTAGAAATGTACCTATCTAAGATTTACTGGTTGTATTTGTTGAAAATCACTGAATGACAAAGATGAATGAACTAAATTAGACTGATTGAATCAGACTGAATTTTAAGATGATAACCACTAATATCCTTAGCATCTGTCAAAAAAAATATGATTTTTACCTTCATCTTAACCAGTTTTCTTTCCAGATGTTGGTGTTTTATATTACTTGAGATTGGGAATTTTAGGCATTATTGTGCTAGCAAGATCTGATATGCCTTTAGATTAGATTTGCTAAAGATTAGTTTAGATTTACAAAACTAATGGAAGGATTGCTTGTATTTGTTACCAAAGCTGACTTTAGATTTAATAGAATCAGAATATGTATCTGAACTTTTTCTATTAGGTCATGTTAACTGGGTTCTAATGTAATCAACACAGAAATGTATTGATTGAATTAGATTTTGAGGCTGTCTGATTCTCAGTTGATTATGGGCAGTTTACATAATTAAAAAAAATAAAAAGACAATAAAAGCGAAACATTGAAAAGCTAATAAAAATGTAAATGCTAATCAAGGTTAGATTTTAAAGTGGCTAAAGGTTCTTATGGTCATTGTATTTTTTTTATTAATTTATCTTATGAAATATGGATAAACAAATTCAAGGTTAAAAGTTACTTTGTATAATAGAAAAATAAGTCATTTATTTCAAGCTGTTCTCTCATGTTTTTAATTATAGTGTTTATAGCCTAGATTGATCTGTCCTAGTTGGGAATCTAATAACCCTTAAAAGAATGGAGTAACATTATAATGATCTCTGTTCACCCATATGAAAAATTAGAGCCAGGCATTTGGTTATATGCACAAGCTGACTGAAACTGAAGGGGAATTTTTTTTTTATTTTTTTTTTTTGAAATTCTCTCAGTCTAAATACAATACACTGGTCTCAGCAGAACAAACTAAACTCTAAACTTGCTCATCTCTAGAATGTTGTGGCTTGCTTTAGTTTCATTGGGTTTTGTTCTTGTTGATGTTCCAGGCTTTGGTAAAGATGAAAACCTCCAAGGGCAATTAATAGTAATGTTTTTTTTCTTCATTACAGCAGGAGAAATTTCCTCCCATTACTGACACAGGGTCACTTGCAGCTCAGATTAATGACTATTGATTTATAATTATAGTCAAGAACAAGCAAAATGTCAGAGTCAGCAACACAAGGATGTTGCAAAACTGAGGTAGAGCCATTGTGAGATGCATTAGTGGAAGCATTACATCTAAGATGCAGACATGTTTACCATCTCTTAGCACAACTAGTGTAGGCCTCAGCAACTATTTATTGTTGTTGTTCAAAATTTTAATAAGTACATAGATAAATAATATATGCCATTTCAAAGAAAACACATAAAAATAGTTGAACAGAAATAAATTTTATCTGAAGTTCAATCATTTTTTTCCAGTATTGACATTTACAGGAAATAGTGCAAACCATTATGGGCCTGCCTGTTTGCAAGATAAGTCCTATTGACTTCAATGGAATAAACGCTAGAGGCAGAATGGCAACAAATTGCAGTTTTCTTGTACAGCTTTTCAGATTTGATTCACCTGGTGTTCTCATTTCTCAAGTTCATAAAAATAAAAATAAAGAAAGCCTTAAATAACTCATAATTCCTTTTTGTAATGAAAACTATAGAAAGCCAAGTGTGTGGACAATTAATGTAGGTGCTATGTAGTTGCAGCATAATAATGTGGTGGTTCTGAAAATTCTATTCAAAATTAGAGAAAAAGTCTAACAAAGTACAAAAGGGTAAAATAGTAGTAAATAAATGTATAGATTATTTTTTAGGACTACTTATTATTTGTTTTGCATATAGAAAAATTAAGCGACATAATACTTTGCCATTTTACAAATGCTTTATTGCCCCAAGCATAAAATATTTGGTTGCAAAACATTCCTTGATAGTTCATTCATATCACTGAAATTGTCCATTTATACCAGAACTTTTGTTATGAATTAAAGCTGTCGGATAACAATAGTCACAGCTATTAAGTTAAAGGTAACTCTTTTAAAAGTCAAGAAATGTTTATCCATAATTTTCAGAGACAAATAGCTTCACATATTCATTGCGCTTAGAGCAAACAATTCTACCATAGTTGTGCCACCTTGCTTTTTTTCTTTTCTTTAGAGAAATAAAATATGTGAAGCTGACCTAGAGCAATGTAGCAATCCTTCCAGAGTAAATTGCTCTGTAATTGAGGAGGAATGATTTCCTAGAGAGGAGCTGTCAAACAGCTGTATATAATAGGTTGTGATGATATTGCTGCCTGCCCAGCATAAGGGACACTTGGCCCTGAGGGCAATTTATCACAGAGAAGTTAGGTGAAGCCCAACAAGCCTCACTCATGAATGCATTTTGACAAGTAATGGCATGAGAAAAAAGAGAACAAAAATAAGAAACAGCCAGTACACTCCAGTTGGCTTCAGGGATAGGAGAGCAGGACATTAATTCCGAATGCTAAGATAAAGTTGACACTAAATTGAATTTATTAACTTGATCAATATAATTATCTATCCTTTCCATCTTTCCATCTTTCTTTCTTTCTTTCTTTCTTTCTTTCTTTCTTTCTTTCTTTTCTTTTCTTTTCTTTTCTTTTCTTTTCTTTTCTTTTCTTTTCTTTCTTTCTTTCTTTCTTTCTTTGTAGCTCTACTTTGTAGGATTTATTTATTAAGTTTTATTTCGTCTAGATTATTGACCTATAATAAAAGATAATTTAATTTGAGAAAAAAATAAAATGCAATGTAAATCAATGGGACGATCCCCCCTCAAAAAATCATGCATTTTAACACCTAAGTCATGTTGCTCACTCTTATTCCCTCACGTAAAAAAGAAGCACGTAAAAAAAATGCAAGTAGAAAAATAAGGACCACCTTTGGTGGGAAGGTAACAGCATTCCGTGCACCTTTGGCGTTTAGTCATGCTGGCCACATGACCACGGAGATGTCTTTGGACAGCACTGGCTCTTCGGCTTTGAAACGGAGATAAGCACCACCCCCTAGAGTCGGGAACGACTAGCACATATGTGTGAGGGAACCTTTACCTTTTTAACGGTCACCTAATGGAGAAGAGTTGAGATCTTCAGACCTCATCAGACAAGAAGTTAATTCCTTAATTATGTGCATCCTCTAGTTTTTAGGATGGTGATTCAAATTAATCCTTAGACTGTGCTAATGTTTTCTCCCCCTAAAACCCTTTTTAGCTGTTTTTCCTATAGCATGTAGATATTAAGTTCATAGGCATCCATTCATAACCGTAGTGATGGCAGAATGATGAGACATATTGTGTGCCCTCACAATATAGTTTTTATAAATCCCCCTTAGCTTTCCCCATGAATACCTCTTATTAAGGTAGGAAACATCTGTTTAAAATAATGAGGCAAGTCTGCCTTTTTAGACTTATGAAAACAGCTTCATAATCCTTTGACACTCCAGAGGTTTTGCTAATCCTCAGTGCTGATTGGGAAGGTGCAGAGTAGAAATAGGGATGAAGAAACTATTATTGCTGAAGTGTACTGTTTTATTCACAGAAAGACAGTGATGCACACAGAAACACACATGCTAATTTCCCCCTCCCAAAGACTCTTTCATTGGAACCATTCTCTGTTACTTTTTAAATGTTGCATTCAGATATTTAAATCCCCTCATTTCCATATAGTGTGGTGATATTATTTTTTAATATTTACATATAAATATAAGCATAAATTCATATTACAATTGCATATCAATTGGAAGTATTTAAATTTATTTTTCTAATAAATCTTTGGTAGTAGTAATATTTGTTTTTGTGTAAGTTGTTTTCTTGTATCTATAGCTTTTACTATGTATCTTTTTTAGCATACAGATTGTTGTACACATTCTGTTTATCAAAACATTGTACTATAACCTTTGGAGCAATGCTCAGACTGTATTACCTTTGTGCTCCGTTTTGTATGTTAACTCAGTAAATACAACTCAAATTGATTCTTCCAGAGAAAATGTAAGCCAAATATGCTTCTCTTTAATCGGTATGTTTTGAAAGGCAGAATTGTAGCACATCTAGCTTTATAATATTTTCCAATATTTTGATTTTGAACAAATATTTGTCACATCATCAAGATTAGAGGAGGAAAAAAGCAATTCCACAACATATCTGAAGAATAGAAGTAATGCTTTCAAAACAGCTGATAGAATTCAAAAGTCTGAGTTATGGATTGAAGGAGATATCAGGTATGACAGATCTAAAATTGGTTTTTGAATCATTTTTATTTGGCCATCAATGTATGAGATTCAAGGACAGGTTATTGTCAGCTTTATACATTGAGGTGAGGTCGAAATGATTGAAATAATTTCCTTGAGTTAAGGATGAGATTTGATATTTGATATTGATACGTATAAAAAGTGATACTCTATACCAAGGGTCAGCAACCTGCAGCTCTGGAGCTGCTTGTGGCTCTTTCACTCCTCTGCTGTGGCTCCCTGTCACTCAAAATATGTGTTACAACTGTCAATGTGTGACACCCACCGGCATGCAATTTATTGAGCTTTTCAACCCCAGGTAGGCCAACCATAGATAAATCCAAGAAAAGAAAATTTTCAGAAGAAAACAGAGTGTTTAATTCAACTACATATGCTAGTTTTGTGGCCGCTCAAGAAATAGTCAGGCATGGGAAGGGTTTTGTGGCTCCCGGTGTTTTTTTTTTTTCTGTGGGAAATGGTCCAGATGGCTCTTTGAGTGTTTAAGGTTGCAGACCCCTGCTCTATACTATACTTGCACATGGGAGAGAAAGCATATATTTATATAAAGATGAATCAAAATATTATAAAGAAATTGTGAGGCTGAAACGGCCACACAAAAAGGAATTATTGCTTGATACATTCAGGTGTTATTTTTCATCAGTAAATTAGTTCCTTTAAGAGGTATATAAAATTGTAGAATCAGTGGATCTTCATAACATCTCCAATTTCAAAAATAGATGCAATAAAAGTTAGACTGTCTTAACGAACAGGGAGTCTCTCTCTCCCCCCACCCCCCTCTCATTTAGAAATTGTCCATCTTTCTCATGGAGATACTCACAAAGGTAGACAAACAGAAACACACACACATGTACATACAAACACACACATATACAATCATATACTCTACGTACATACATACATACATACACTTGCTGCTATTCACTTATGAAATTATTTTAATATCAGGAGAATTAACTTTAACATATATGCTTTGATTTTTCCCTAACCAAAGTTTTGAATGCTGGTGTGTACACAATAAATTGCTATTGTCAGGATAGGTGCTTCAGACAAACTGAATGTTCCATAAAATACAATATTAAAAAAAATATGAAAAGAATATCAGCTAAAGAAAAAGGTCATGCAAGCTTGGATGAACAGTAAGCAATCCAGCAAAATCACAAAATATACCTGGAGAACATTATCATCTCTGTGCAATCCATGACTTATTTTCCTAAAAGAAAGAAATAATTTAAATATGGAAATATTATTCCTGTGGATATTACTGATAAACTGAGTACAGTTGTGGATCTTCTTTTCTGTTAAACATTGTCATGCCTTCTGTTGATGAAATCAATGATCAGATTTAAGGAAATGAATACCACAGTTAATGATACACCAGTGCATATTCACATACTGTTACATGAAAGTTTTATCACTGAACAGGTCTCTTTTTTTTTATGTTACAGCTTTTGAAACTCTCTTAAATTTAATATTTTTGAGGCAAATTGTGTGTGTTTGTGCACATTTGTGTGTCTGTAATTCCTGTTCAAGACATGGAAATACAAAACATCCCTGCACACACTATACAAATTGAACAAACACACAAACAAAAGTCAAACTGAATGATTCTGTAGATACTATTTTGTTTAGAAATTAACTGCAGTGAAGTGATACAGAAGAGATTTCATTTGAATGTATATAGAAAAAATAAATACCCTGTAATAGTTATGTTTCTGAGAAAAGTCTTCTGCATTGATGTTTACTATTCTGATTCTAATCTCATGAAATTTACTAATAGACCTATAACTGTAAGCCTTCTGTTCACATTTTCCTTTTCTTTTTAATTAATAGCAATTGCAATAATATGAGATGGCTTATGAATGCGAGAACTTTCCCCTTAGATTTAATTCTAAATCTTGCTACCATTGCATTAAAGTGTGTGGATTGATAGTGCTGTGTCTTCCTTTTAAAATAACCATCTGCTCAGTTTTATCAGCCTGCCGGGATATTTTTTTTCTTCCAAATTATCTGCCTGCCATGTTTTCTAAAGGCTGAGAAAGAAAATATTGTTATTTTATCAATGCAGGCTGACAAATGTTTACTTTTCTTTTTTATTATAACAACAACCAAACAGCTCTTGTTTTGCTCTCTAGCTCTTATTGAGGTTATATGATTTTAGCAACTACACTAGTAAACTCTAACCCCAGAGAGGTCATTATCTTGGTAATAAAATAGATATACATTTACAACATTTTGCAATATGTATTTTTAAAATGTTTCAAAAATTCCAGATGGTGAGTTGAACGAGATGACGCAAAAGCAATTAAGGTGCTGGTTTGTGTATTACACAAATATAGCTGATAATAACTCATTACTGGGGAAAAAATTCCCCAAAGAGAGTACACTCATGCAGATAACACTTAACCATGGGTTATTGATGCATGCTAAGTAGAAAAAATTGTAAAGCATCATACTTGCACTTTTCCCTTGTTATCCTTTTTTCTGATGCTTGTAACCAGATTTAATATAATAATAACTTTATTGTCATTGTACATGTATACACAGTATACCCATACAACGAAATTCACTTAACACCCAAAGACAGGTCAAACACACATAACAATCCCCAAACACATTCCCACCCACCACAAATTCCCCACCCCTAAACCACCCAAACATCCACACAACAGACCAAGTAATACTGTCCAACAGCTCACTGATGAGCCCCACCACTGTTGTGTTATCCGCAAATTTAATAATTGCGTTGGGGTTATACAATGGGGTGCAATCATGTGTGTACAAGGAATAAAGGAAAGGGCTTAGCACACAACCCTGAAAGACTCCTGTGCTTAGTATCAGAGTAGAGGAATGGTGAGATCCCATCCTTACTGACTGTGGCCTATCTGTTAGAAAATCCCTTATCTACAAACAAATCCTCTGATTTATACCCAAATTGGACATTTTAAAAAACAACCCTGTTGGGTAAAATGGTGTTAAAGGCAGAGCTATAATCCACAAATAACAGCCTTGCATATGTTCCAAATGATTCAATATAATATGGACAACAAGAGACATAGCATCGTCAGTTGATCTATTACCCCTATATGCAAATTGGTATGGGTCCAAAGTAGATGGAAGACTAGCCTTAATATAGTTCAACACCAGCCTCTCAAAACATTTCATGAGAACAGATGTTAAAGCTTATGGTCTATAATAATTAAGGGATACCACTACTGTCTGCTTAGGGACTGGCACTATAATGGATGTCTTCAGGCAGGTAGGGATAGAGCACTGTGACAGGTATAGATTGAAAATATCTGTGAACACTCCAGCTAGCTCTGCACTGCAGTCCCTGACAACTTGTCCCAGAATTCCATCAGGCCCAGCTGCCTTCTGGATATTAACATTCTGGAAAGCGCATCTCACATCAGAGATCTGCAGTAGAAGTGGTTGTCTATCGATGGTAGACGTTAATGGTGTACTATCAGTGGTAAATGCTGGAAGGATGGTCGTTCCTGTGTCCACCTCAAAACGGCTGAAGAATTGATTTAGCTGCTCAGCCAAAGAATCACTATTCAGCCTTAGTAAATCCTGATTTATCTGGAAAATCCTCCATATCATTAGAATAGTATAGCAAGTACAAGAAAAGGAAGCAGGAAAGAAACAGGATTTGAGAAAGAAGATATTTTTAGATCTTTATAGCTGTATTCCCAGATTTGTAGACCATACCATAGCTCTTCAACTCCTATACAATACTTTGAGGAATGGCCAATCACTGACACAGCATATATTGAAATTGCTGTTGAAATTGCTGATATATTGCCACTTGGAGACCCAACCATGATCAGGACTCCTCGTTGTAATTATTATTTATTTTGTTTAGCATATGATGAAAACATGACAAAAGAGAAGTAAACATATACACATAATCAATGTAATTATATACAAAATTACTGTGGGGTATGACAGTGGCCTCATAACTAGATGCCCAATTCAGCTATCCAGGCAATTCATCTCTGGCATTGCTTCAAGATCTTCTAGGGAACCAGAGAACACATGTGGTGCGCAATCTTGCACAATATGCTTAATAGTTTGCATATCACCACCACAATCCCAGTAAGGGGGATCTTTCCATCCCCACTGATATAGGGCAAAGCCATTTCTTCCAATATTGCACTAAACTCCAAGCATTGTCAGGGTTAAGCTGGGTAGATGTTAACTGAATAGCTGTTTTCAATGCTTGGCTAAAGGATTTCAATACTTTAAAATAATTTCAATTATTTCGTTATAATAAGAATTAAAACAAGAACTGATGCAATCATACAATCATAAACCATCTCACCATTCAGCTTCTTCTGGACATAGGAGTAACATTGTCACAACTAACAAACTCAGACTGATCAATACTGCTGCAGATCCTTAGGCAGCATCTCTTTCACCACGATCACTGCCAACCAGCAGCATACACATAAAAGCCCCTTCTTTATCCTGTTCGGATGGACGAAAGAGTGATTCAGAATTAATTTTTCTTTGCCAGACTCTCAGTTTGTCTGCAATCAAGTTAGAAATTATATTTGAAATGTAATATAAATTTCAAAACAAGGCAAACTCAGATATAAGAACTCCCTAAGGAGATAATTTCCAATTCCCAATTTTCACATAACCACTTGAAGAATATTTTTCTCATTCTGGAGGATCATTTATCATGTGATGTGGATTCTTGGCTCTAAGTAGCTTCAGATCAATTCAACAACATTTCTAGACCACTTACAGATCTGGGCCAGGGGTTTATCATATTCCACTTATTCAGATAATTCCTACTGGATCATAGTCAAGGTCACTGGCTTTGGTACTCTACCTGAATCTATTCTTTCTCTTGTAATGCTTCACATTTGCATTAAGCTGTTGTGTGAAATATAGCTTTATTGATGCTTGTCACCCAATGACAGAAAAGTGAACTTAATAAAAAGTGTTTGGGTGAAAGCCAAGAAGCTAAAATAAAATCCAAACAAAATAAAACTGAGTATTATATTAGACACAAAATGACCTGGAGAAGAGTCAAAATATGATGAAGATCAGCTCATCTATTTCATAGAAGTTCTTGGCTCCTGCTTTGTGTCTTCCTAGCTTCAGAAAACTGGAAAGCTCAGAGTCAAAGAATTCATTTCAACTAAATAGAAGTCTGACATTTCAGTCATGGGTACTTTGATAGCCAGAAGCAGGGGTGAAGCTACATCACCCATGTCTGCTAACTTATTTAAATATTCAAATGAAAATTGATAAGTAAGTATTGCCTCATTGTTGACATTAATACAGGCTTTAAACTTTTTAAATGAATTTTCTAAGTCTTTGAAACTTCCACATATCAGATCTGTTTGTAGGGCTTTAGATGAGTAACTTAGTTAATTCTTTAGGATCCTTAGCCAAACCAATATATTTAGTGCAAACCAAGTTCAACAAGGAAGATGGAAGTTGCACTTACCATGAAAAGTCAAGTTATTTTACAGTCACTGCACTGCCATGCAATGACAGTGGTTACATGGAATGCAGTTGTATAATTATGTGAACTATGTAACATTTACCTTTTTAAAGAACGGATGTGAATAAGCATGGAGATCTAAAAAAAAATAGAGAGAGAGTTGGTCATCATAATGCAATAGTACCTACTCATATTTTATATGTATTGTCAAAGGTGTCTAGGGAGATTTTCAATCAGCCAGGTCATGGTTGTCCCAAAGGTGCTTTTTTCAAAATGGCTTGAAGACATTTTGCATCTCATCCAAAAAGCTTCAGTTTTGACTGCCAGTTCTGACTGAAGTCAGAACTGAAGAAGCTTCTTGAATAAGAAGTAAAGTGTCTTCAAGGAAAAACAAAGTCCAGTTTCCTTTTGAAAAAAGCACCTTTGGGATTGTCAAAAGTGCAAACACTAAACTGAAACGTGGCAGTTGAAGAGCAAAACTCCAAATAAGACCTAAATAATCCTGAATAATATAATGTTACTTCTTTATTACATTGAGCAATAATTTTATGAACACAAGTAAATATTATTTTCTCAATATCCAGGTAAATCATTCTTGCTTGACAGGATTGATAGCTTCCAATCAAAACTGCTTGAATGCAGTGGCTGAAAAATTATGCAAGAAGCCCTGTTTTGTTTTATTTTTCTACATTTTCTTTTTTTTAAAAAAAAATCCTTAATAACATTATACTATTGTTTATATCTGTGATTTACAAACAGGTCTATGGAATCCCAACAACTATTCATTAAAAAAAGTCATTGTGGAGTTTTAATTAATTAGCAGGAGAAAATGGGTACTTATAGTATCTAAGTATAGCAGACACAAATATGAAATAATTCAAATCTCTACCTATACAGAATTCCTTTTGAAAAAAACACATAGTTCATATTTTGATTACAAGAATTTACTGATTCAATATTAAATCATTATATTTTATTATAACATTTACAGGCTCCAATGCAAATTATACATAACATTTGTGTATCCAAAAACTTTAAATGTTGCCTCAAGCATAGCAGGATTAAACTAAATATTGGGGGGAAAAACATGACATGGTCTGGTGGCCATATATGCAAAATTCAACAGTAAGCTTGAGCTGGTTGGAAAAAAAAAAGGAGCAAACGTTCCCATTTACTTCTCAGTGCTGTATTAAGAAGGAAGAGAATGCTTTATCAAAGTGCTATAGAGGGTTCTTAAGCATATAATGGTGCAAGAAAAAAAAGTTTCTAAAAGAGCAGACTATCAAAGCAGTATGTGATTTGAATAAAAAAGGCCAAGCTTTTTATTTTTCTTTGACCTACCCAGTCTCCAGGTTTAGAAGCTCAATGGTTAACTCTGGCCAGCTACAATCTCTCAGTTTCTTGTGGGATATAAAATAAGTAAGAATGGTGGCGTCCGTGACAAAAAAGGTCATAAAATCAAGCAAGACTCACTTAACATCCACCTTGCTTAGCTACATAAATTCGGATCCCAATTATGGTCATAAGTCAAGAATTACTTGTGCTAATGGCAGCATTCCATTGCCTTAATTTAAAAAGAAAAGAAAAGCTTTTTGTGGCTTTGAACACATACTGTACATATACGTTCTTTTTAAAAATTCATGTTTTCTGGAAATATATGCTCTTTCTCTTGAGCTCCATGTGAACATTCTCTTTACTGAAGTAAGAATGGATTAGTGGCAATGTAAAAACACATAACCATATTAATAAATAATTTCATTGGGGAATATCCATTTTGGCACTTCTAGCGGCTTTTGTGCCTAAAATCATGAGGCAAACGAAATGAAAATGAAAGCTGCTCACTTTCTGTAATTGCTTAAGATTCTAGTTTGTGCATTAATATGTACAACTACAATTGCACATACTTACATACATATATACTGTACATACACACATGTAGCTTCATAAAAATATGGGCCAATTTTTATATTTTCATTCTTTTGTATTTCAGTTTCACTGGAAAGTTAGTACCGATTGCAAACAACATTCTATAAGCAAGATAATCACATGAAATATCAAGAATATATAATCTACATTGTTTCCTTGCTTTTTATAATGTTAGTTTTACATGAACCAATTAAACCTCAAGGGTATATTGCCTTTCAGACTTTTATCAGCAGACATCTAATTAAAAAACTATGCTGCCATTGGCTTCCACTAATCAATAAAAAAGTAAATGTTATTTAAAATATGTTCTACCTCTCAATAATGTTCTTTATGTCTTTGGACCATACAGTACTTTATAATTTCATTTTTAAAAGCTAATTATCAGCATTCATCTATTTTCCCTTTTCTTCTGCAACTATAGTTAAATGTGTTCAAAATATTTTAAATTTGTTTCTTATGACTACCTGCCAAATCTACATTGGCAATACTTCAGGGAATGAATTTGAAAATCATGAGTGGATGACATTGCCATAGTGGAATCAAATTTGGATTTGCAGCAGAGGAGGAGACCAATACTGAGCAGCCAACTCCAGTGCCTGCCTCAGAAGTACTGACAGATGTCAAGCATCCAGCTCCAGCACCACCAGACGGATTGTTGCCCAAGCAGAAAAAGAAGGTAGAGCAAAACAGCAAACAACAGAGACAGCTGCTCTCACTTTTTTAAAACAAAGGCATGGAATTACCATCCCTCTCAATGCAAGAGTTTGAAAGGCTGTAAAGAGAATAAAGCAAGGTACTTTGGGAGAGTGTTCTGTTTCTATTGACTCCCTGAAACCATTAAGATACTCCACCTCTGGTCCCTGGCCACTGAGTTTCATGACCATTTCTAAGAAAGTAAACTCTCCCACTGTTTCAAAAGGACATCTGCTTCAATTCTCTTGTCAAGCTGTAGTGACAGAAGAAGCAGAAAGAGAAAAGTGGAAGGAGGAGGAGGAGGAGGAGGAGGAGGAGAGGAAGAAGAAGAAGAAGAAGAAGAAGAAGAAGAAGAAGAAGAAGAAGAAGAAGAAGAAGAAGAAGAAGAAGAAGAAACAACCTTAAATACCATTGCCATTCTGGTGGGCACGGAGATTCTGGCGACACTGCAGCTCCCATGGCACCCTGGCTCCTCAACTTATCTCCTGGCCACCAAGCAATGTGAAGATCCCCCTCCCGACTTGCGCCCTTGCCGCTCATCAGCTGCAGGCACCCCTTGGTGACATGTTCGTCACCATGGCAGCCTCCTCCAGACATTTAAGGCACTCAGACTGGCAGCAAACATTTCTGAATGGACTGGGCAGCGAGTGCAGCTGGGAGCTGCTGACTGAGCAGCTGTTGAGGGCGGCTGAGAGGCTGAGACACTGACAGTCACAGAGAAGTTTGAAATGGCTGTAATGATGACTAGTGTGGAGAGGCTTGGAAATGGCTGGAATGCTGGCCAATCTGGACGAGTGGGAGTGTGCGGGGGTAATGCTTAATTGCAGTATCTAATGGAACAATGATTAAAGAGTGGGGAGGAGCTGGGTTAAGGGTCACCTGGGTAATAAAGCCTTATAAGGTGGTGGGGAGCACAAAGTATTAGCTCCAACAAAATCTTCTTGTATTGCTTTATGGATGTTAGTTCATGCCGGTAAAGAATTCAAACCATCATTTGTATGTGTGGCGTTTTCTTTATACACTGGAACCTGACAACCATAAGGTCACTCTGTAGGATGAAAGAATTATTTCCTCTCCTCATGGGAGAAGAAGTATGAGAGAGAAAGGGAAGAAACATGACTCCTTCAGTCTAGTAGTCTGATACCACAGATTGCTCACCTTGTAGGATCAGAGAACTGACACCAAAAAGACCTACTTCCCTGTCAGCACAATAGAAGGATAATAGGAATTCAACAAGCAGGAACTTTAAACAGGTTTTCCAGAAATGAGGCTAAGCCTGAAGCATAAACCAAGATCCAGATGGATTTTCCAACTGTAAATAGAAGAAAAGTCACTTCAGGCTACAAAATCAAAATGCCCTCTGTCAGTATGGATGCTGATTCTAGAAGCTAGGAGAAGAATGAAGAGGACATAGGTAAAAGATTGGAAAAAGTGAACACAATATTCTACATCAAAAGTATTTCTTGCAGTTCCCACTTGTTTTTCTTTGGCATCACTGATGCTTTTCTTCTTGTTTAATCTAATTCCATTGACAATGCTATGGTTTCTTTTATGATTCCTATAATAGTTATGCCTCCACTCTTTTTTAAAAAAATGCCATGATATTTAATGTCTCCTATAACTTAACATTTTTTTTTCAAATTTGGAATAATATATATTCTTCAACTAAAAATCACATGGATAAAAGCCTTAGTTCAGACATTATTTTGTTTTGCTTGACGGTAAATGTTTTTATTCTTAACTCTCTCTTTTTTTTTTTTGCTTTATGTATTTCATGAGAAATACATTTTTCCTATTATTAAATAATAAAATAAACTAATATAATAATAAATAAATTATATATATATATATATATATATATATATATATATATATATATATATATATGATATAATATATTATATTATATATAATATAATAATAAACTAATATAGAAATATTAGTGATATTTCATGAGAAGAATCCTCTACTCCTCTGCTCGCAATAGCCACCAGACTTGAAAATTTGCCACCAGACTTGAAATTTGGGTTTAGACAATTTAGAACTACGCCGCATAATACATAAAATTATCTGCTACAATGTCCTATCTGTCAATGACTACTTCCGCTTCAACCACAAGATACACAAGCACACAATAGACACAGTCTTAAGGTAAACCGCTCCAAACTCGATTGCAGAAAATATGACTTCAGCGACAGAGTGGTTAATGCCTCGAATGCACTACCTGACTCTGTGGTTTCTTCCCCAAACCCCCAAAACTTTAACCTTTAATCTAATGTTGACCTCACCCCATTCCTAAGAGGTCTATAAGGGGCATGCATAAGCGCATCAAGTGCCTACCGTCCCTGTCCTACTGTCTCCCATTTATTCGTATCCATTTCATGTATTCATAATCATGTTTATACTTTTATCTGTTATCTTATATATGCTTGACAAATAAAATAAAATAAATAAATAAATGTATGTATGTATGTCAATCTACAGTGTGAAAAGCATGTGCTTAGGGCCATTCTCAAGTGTCAGTGTTCTGCAGGAAATACAATTCAAAAAACAAAAGCAAAAAAAACAACAACTTTTCATTAGCTTTTTTCTCCTCTTTCTCCTTTTTTCCAAGAAGTGTTGTTTGTATGAGATTCGGTATGTCAGATGAAATATGCTTTATCCTTCTTCCGAGATTTCAGTTGATAATATTGTGATTCAGCAATGGAAATTAGAAGAAAGTATTGCTTGGGTAAAAAAAGGAAGTGAGACTATTTCATAGCTCAGCAGCAACCCTTTATTTGATTATCCTCAGAAGGTAGACAAATACAAAATGCATTAATATTTCAATTGCTTCATTGCTGCTGAGAGATAGCAACTTTCTGCAAAGTCAAGTAAAGACTTTTCTGCAAGATCGAAGAACAAATGTTTTGACTGCTTTTCTCTAGGAAGTAAAATCTTAATTTTTTAAAAAGCAATCTGAGAATGGGAATCTGGGAGTTTTAAAATACTGTAGTGGATTATAAATTACTGGTACAGAAACAGTGATGTGTCAAACTCACCCACGTCTTCCTTCCCTCCCTCCTTCATTTTTACACTGATTAACATTGGGATGCACAAGAAGTGACAAGATCTGGCCTCTCAGACATCCTTTTCAGTTACATACTCTAATCATTCACTGACTGCTGATGTGCTCTATTCACTTACATATATAGGCTATTCTTTAACATACAGAAAGGCAGTCATCTACTTTGTTCCCATTCAGCACATCAAGTGCATCATTGACTCTATTGACCCCTATGGAATGAAAGAGCAGTGTGCGATCAGATCATTAAACAGAATAATGCTAACTTACTCCTACCATGGAACTCTTCCTATTCAGTCAGTAAATCTAGCACAAATGATTTGCCATCTTTCCTTACATAAATCTTTGGAAAACAATGTAAACATTCACTAAGTTTCACTGGTAGATATAGCTAGGACAGGGGTGTCAAAATTGATTTTATTAAGGTCACATCAGGGTTGTGTTTGCGTCCTCAGTTTCATGTGATGCCCCCCCCCCGGCGTGGCCCATTTGCAGCCTCCACAGCTCCTGCAGCATTCTGCCGGTCAAAAATGGGCCACAGAGGGACTGCATGAGCCCCCCATGGCCCGTTTTCAGCTGACAGAGGCACCGTGGGCCGGTCCTTTGGTATTTCCACACTGGCTCCACAGGCCAGATCAAAACACCCCGTGGGCCAAATTCGGCCCATGGGCCTTGAGAGTGACACCCCTGATTAGGACTTTGAGACACTTGCTTCCATTTCTCACAATGCAGATCTTATTTTCTGCCTTTCTTATACTGGAAACATTTTTATAGCCTTACTGTCTACTATAGGTCATAAAGCTACATCATGTCTAGTGAGCCAGTTTAGTCTAGTGGTTAAGGCACCAGGCTAGAAGGACAGAGATTATGAATTCAAGTCCCGCCTTATCTATGAAAGCCAGATGGGTGACTTTGGGATAGTCCAGTCACATTCTCACAGCCCAATCTACCTTACAGGTTGTTGTTGTGGGGAAAATAGGAGGAGGAATGTTTGTTGAATGTGTTTGCTGCCTTGAATTATTTCTAAAAATAATAATGGTGGGTTACAAATAAATAAGTACATGAATGTCTTGATACTACATAATGCAGATCAACTTTCTATCTCTCTCCAACTTGCTCAGAAATGTTGGCTTAATTACAACAAACTGACCTCACTTTTTTTCTTTTCTTTTTTTCCATTTTTTTTTTTTAGCATAAAACATAAAATACATCTTTTTAGAGGAGGGGTTTGGTCTAGCTTAAAATAAGTACAATTATTCACATTCCCACAATCAATTTTGTTCCAAATTTTAAAATCTTTAAGAAGAAAAAAATAATAATAAAAAAACCAAAAACCAGAATTCTTATTCTAAACATTTATCATTCTACTATAACACCCAAAATTCTAAACAATAAACACCATTCTAAATCCTTATCATTTTAACAATTAATATTTCATATATATTCCTCAATTCTAAAACCCATTGCCTCAAAACTATATTTTATCTCTCTTAAATGACAACAGATAACCAATTCTTGACAAAAAATATTTTCCTCCTCTCTTAAAATCATTTTGAAATAAATCAACATTTCTTCCTATATTTTATTACTTCCAAAATATTTTACCTTAATACTTGAAATTTATTCTCAAATTCTATTAGACCGGCTGTTTAACCGATTCATGGTTTAAATATCTATTTCCCAGTTATAATTCCCAGTATTCCTTTCTCCATTTGTTTAACTGGTTCACAGTTCAATTACTATTCTCCAATAATATCTCTTCCACTTCCTCCTAGGTTTATTTTTGAGCTGGTTCGCATCTTAATCAGCTGCTTTCCAGCAATACTTCCTCCACTCCTTACCTTAATTATTTTGGCTGGTTCACAGTATAATTTTAACTGCAAACAACCTTCTCCTTTACTCCTCCTAAATCTAATGTAAAACTGGTTCACCACTCAGATGGTTGCCTTCCAGCAATGCTTTCCTCTGACCTCACTTTTTTTCTCATTGTGTGAAAGAATATGCTCATGATAATGTATGTAATTTTAGGAATTTTCAGGGCCTGGATACAACGGCAGTGCACCATATGATGTCAGCAGCAAAGCAGGGTTTTGTTTTTTTTTAAAGTGTTTGGGAAATAGATGTTTAATAAAAACAATCTAATTGGCAAACTAATGATCCATGCAGCCTCCCAGAGCTTTTGCATCAAGAGCAGGAGCATCTGTGTACTAATGGATAACATTAAGATTTTGAAAAGCATGTAGACAGCCAATGAGTTTCTTTGTTTAAAAATAAATTGACCAACAGTAGTTGGGGTTTTCTTTATCCCAAATTCATGCCAGCAACTTACACATTTTAGTAATTTCTCTTAAATCTTTCACAAATATTTGAATTTAACATGATATTAAATATTTTCAAGTTTTCTATACCCAAAAATCAAAGGCCCTGAAGTTTAGCATGCTTTCTATAGCACAATCATATTTCCTTTTATTGATATATTAATGTTTTAAAAGTGTCCTCCAATAAAACAAAAAAGCACTTATTA